TTATAATTAATGATGCTCTTGTGGGTGTGGGGCCATGAAAACAAGGCATATGCAAGCCTAACATGGGATTGGTCAGTTTTGCCATCTATCTAGGCTTAAAATGAGCCATCCAAGAGGGATAAAGAAGGACCTCACTACCATCAAGAGAGAAAAGTTAGGAATGGAACACATCCTTTGGACCTGAGACCTCTGTACTGAGGCAACAGAGATATGCAGCAACAGAAGTAGAAGACAGAGCAGTGGGCTTCCTAGCCCACAGAGCAAGAAAGCTGAGTATCTTTGGGAAGGAGGCTTGCTGACAGAGTGGGATACCTCTCTGAGCACCCACAGAGCTAAAAGTGTATTCTAACACTTGCCCAAAGGACAGAGGAATGTGCCTCTGGCCCAGCTGAGAAGAAAGAAAGTGTCCTGATTGAAGTAGTGTATCCTGAGTTGTTTCTGATCCTGAGTTATGACCTATTACTTCCTTGGTAAATTCCATAACCGTGAGTTTTGTCTGTGAGTTCTGTGTGGCTGTTTCAACAAATATAGTACCAGCAGAGAAATAATGAGTGATGTAGAAGGGACAGTTGGTGTTAGATTTGTAAAGAGTTTGGAGGGTAATGGTATGGCTAGCCTCTGACTCATAGGAATCAGCCTTGGGCTGTTGATGTTCATGGTGATTTTCTCTTCCCTTGTGAGGTTAGAGGAAGTCAGAAGACAGCTCCTTGACAGCCATAGTGCAATGGGCCATAAGCTCTCTGTTGCAACTACTTAATTCTACCATTGTAGTGCAAAAGCACACAAAGACAATATGAAATAGAATGGATATGACTGTGTTACAATAAAATTTTATTTCTAAAAATAAGCTGTGGGGTGAGTCTTAGTTTGTTGACCCTTGCTCTATGGTTTTCTTCATCATTTTTATTTTATCTAAGAGTAACAAATGTGTTTTCTGAAGAGGAATTTCATTATTTCAATACTGATTTTTTGTTTGCTTTGATTTTTCTATGAAAAAATATCTAATTAAACATACATTCTTTAGCTTTCATGAATTTAATATTTTCATTCATTTCTTTCAATGAGCTACAAATGGAAGTGATATAACTTGCCAAAATTGCACAGGAAAAAAAAAAAATCACAATCACAAGAATAGATGTTAGCCATCATCCCACTTTCAAGCCTTCAGCTTTACAGAATTTTCTTTTACATCCAAAAGTTGGTAAAATGCACACTAATCAGTGATTTATTTATTTATTTTTTTTTTGTCTGCTTTGTTTACTTCCCTTTGCTGAAATGAAATTATTTTTATGAGTTAGATGTATGTCAGGCAAAATACCAAAACAATAAAACAGCAAATCTACAAATTCTGAGACCTGGGAAACTCTGCACATGTATTTAAGATCACATAATACACTTCAGTAAGAGAACAATTCTAATCATTTTACTTCATTTATGGAATAGCCCATGAGTACAGAGAGTTGCATCT